TCTGATAAAAACTTTTATCTACCCGATGACCTCATGTAGAAGATCCAGTTGAGATAAACCCACTGTGTCCCTCAGTTCTGGACTCTCCTGTAAGGTTGTGCTCCATCTCAACTATGTAGATATGAAACAAGACAAAATAAAACACAAACTGAAAATTAGTTTCGGTGTATGTGGTTGGACAGGAGGAGCTTTGAAATTAAAATTAAACCAGACGCAATTCTACTCAAAAGTTATGCAGTAAATTAGAACCTAACAGAGACAGCCAGCAGAGAGCAAAATAGCACAGTCTTTTGACAGGGTCTGGACAGGCTCTGGGCATTGGAATAGATGTCTTTTCATTATTCCTATTACTGTATGTTTGGTCATTGACCAGACGGGTATGGAATGCTTACCACTGTAAGACACTAATTTAGGCACTAAAGTTATTAGAGGAAAAAGCAAGCTTAATACACCATTATTTGGCCAGAATACACTTATATTTTAAAATGGCTTTAGAATTTAAGGAGATTAAGAAACTTGTAAAATATGATAAACAAACATTCAGAATAAATATTGAAGGATTATGTCCACATGTTAGAATTTCTGATCATACTTGCTAGGGTTCTGTCAAAGACTAAAAACAGAAAATTCTGTTTGCCAAACTTTTTGTGAAAATAGTATTCCATATTTGGAGAAAGGACAAATATAATACTGGTATTTTAGATGAAGTTTTGTGTTTATCTTCAGGCTTAAATGGGTCTAGATAATCAGGAAAAATATTCCTTACCCTTTTCATATAAAAGAATGATTTTACTTAACATTATTATTCCTAGGGTAAATAGGCTTATATATAATAAAATATCCACAGTTACTGTGGAGTGGATTGGGACTTATGGTGACCCCAGATATTGCATAATGGAATTGTATTCCCCCAAGTTTTCAATGTCTGTGATTTTTGGAAAATAGGTCATCCAACCACAGTCATGTCTGCAACTCAGGGACTCTATATTATACATATGAGCATAAATGTAGTAGATAAATTCAAATACATAACACACATAGCTATGTAAGGGGGTTGCAAAAAGTTTCTTGGAAAATTCCAGTCTTTTAATTCCATAGTCCTGTGAACCGAAGTCCCCTTATAAATATCTACATACAAGTCAATCGTTGGAGACAATAAAACAACTGTTGTTTTCCTTGTGTTATTTCAACTCACGCAGCCCAACTCCCGGCTTTGCTCTCTACTAAACACTATAAAATATACTGAACTCAAAGCTTCCAGACACTTTGAGGCCCAGCATGGAAATAGCAGAGAGAAAGGGGAAGCGACAAACAGGAACATTTTGGTGGAAAAGAAGTCTCCAGAAATCGACAGAATACCAAAGGAGATATTTCAATAAATGAATGCAAAGCTAGAAGCACTCACCCATTAATGTCAAAAAAATTCAAAAGAGGTACCTGGTCAACAGACTGTTAGAGATCTATATTTGTGCCCATTCTAAAGAAATTTTGATGGAACAAACTGTGGAAAATACCAAATAATGCCATTAATATCACAAGCAAGTAAAATTTTCCTGAGGGTCATTTAAAATATGATTACAGTAGAACATTGCCTAGGAACTGCAAGAAATCAAAGCTAGATTCAGAAGAGGATCTGCAGCAAAGAGATCATTGTTGATGTCAGATGGATCTTGGCTGAAAACAGAATACCAGAAAGGTTTACTTATGTTTTATTGTTTAAGCAAAGGCATTTCACTGTGTGGATTGTAAAAAAGTATGAATAAATGTTAAAGAATAGGAATCCAGAGCACTTGACTGTGCTTCTGCACAATCTGTACGTAGATCCAAAGGCAGTCATGGGACCACCACGGAAGGATAATAAGTGGTTTAAAATCAGAGAAGGTGTGCATCAGGGTTTGATCCTCCCCCCCGCCATACTTACTCATTCTCAACCAAAGAACCAAGAAACTAGACGATCTAAAAAATAATATGGCATCTGGGTTGGAGGATGATTCAGTAAGAACTTGTGATATGAGGATGAAACAACCATAATTGCTGTAAGTGAAGAGGACTTGAATCACTTATTGGTGGAGATCAAAGAATATAGGATTTGTTATGAATTATCCCTCAACATATTTTTTTTTAAATCTTCACAATTGGATCAATACACAGCATCATGATAAGCAGACAAAAGACTGAAGTTTTCAAGGAATTCACTTTACTAACATCCAAAACCAACACCCATGCAATCAGCAGTCACGAAATTACATGGCACATTGCATTGGGAAAGTCTACTGCAAAAGATCTCTTTAAAATGTTAAAACTATTTTTTTAATATGTCACTTTGAGGAGTGAGATGTGTCTGACCCATACCACAGTCATTGTAATCTCTTCATATGCATGGGAAAACTGGACAATGCCTGAAGAAAAATTGGCGAAGAATACTGAATATACACCATGGGCTGATAGAGAACAAAGAAATCTGTTTTGGAAGAAGGAGAGACAGAAGGCCCCTTGGAAACAAGGATGCGAGATTTTGTCTCATATACGATGGACTTGTTTTCCCAAGGGACCAGATCCCGGAGAATGACATTGTGTGGCATAAAGGCGGTCAGTGAAAATGAGGAAGACCTTCAAGGAGATGCATTGACACAATGGCTACAACATAACAATTATTATGTGTGTGACGTGCAAATAGACAATGTTTCATTTCCTATACATGGGGTCACTATGGGGTCACTATGAGTTAGACCCAACTCAATAGACTTTAAGTACAACAACATCATCGTATTACTAAACAATGGAGATCCTCCACTCCATTTCCTCAGATCACAATGCTATAAAACTAGAAATCAACAATAGAAGAAACAGAAGCACACGGAGATTGAACAAAATACTGTTTAAGTGTTATAAATCAAACAAAGAATGAAATTTTAAAATTCCTTGGAGCAAATGAGAACAATAACACAACCTTTGGGACACAGCAAAAGCAGTTACCAGAGGTCAATTTATAGCAATCAACAGACACATGAATAAAGAAGAGAAATTCAAAATCAATATCTCAACACAACCCCTTCAGCAAGTGCAGCAAAAGCAACATCATCGACGCTCCAACAGCGGAGGAAACTCAGACGGAACAGAGCAGAAAGCAATGAACGGAGACCAAAAAAGGGGAGGAAGTCAGCAAGACAAGAAGTTGGTTCTTTGAGAGGATTAACAGAAGGAGAGAGTGCCAGCAAACTTAACAAAGGAAAAGAAAGAAAAGATGCAAATGTCCTTTTTATTTTCCCCACAAATCTTTTAAATTATTTTTAAAAATAATTTTATTGGAGGCTCGTACAACTCTTATCACAATCCATCCATCCATCCATCCACTGTGTCTAGCACTTTTGTACATTTGTTTCCCTCATCATTCTCAAAACATTTGCTTTCTAGTTGAGCCCTTGGTATCAGCTCCTCATTTCCCCCCCTCTCTCCCCACTCCCCTCTCCCCCATGAGCCCGTGATAATTTATAAATTATTATTTTTTAAAAAATTATTATTTTGCCTTATCTTACACTGTCTGATGTCTTCCTTCACCCACTTCTCCACTGTCCGTCCCCCAAGGAGGAAGTTATATGTAGATCCTTGTAATCTGTTCCCCCTTTCTCCCTCACCTTCCCTCCACCCTCCCAGCATCACCACTCTCACCACTGGTCCTGAGGGGTTCATCTGTCCTGGATTCCTGTGTTTCCAGTTCCTATCTGTACCAGCGTACATCCTCTGGTCCAGCCAGATTTGTAAGGTAGAATTGGGATCATGATACTGGAGGGAAGGAAGCTTTTAAGAACTAGACGAAAATTGTATGTTTCATCATTGCTACACTGCTCCCTGACTGGCTTGTCTCCTCCCCGTGGCCCTTCTGCAAGGGGATGTCCAAATTTCCCACAAATGTGCCCTGGGTCCCCACTCCACACTCGCCCTCATTCACAATGCTATGATTTTTTTTGGGTGGGGGGCGTGTCTTTGATGCCTGATACCTGATCCCTTCGACACCCTGTGATCTCACAGGCTGGTGTGCTTCTTCCATGTGGGCTTTGTTGTTTCTCAGTTATATGACCACTTGTTTATCTTTCAGCCAATAGGACCCCAGACTCTATATCTTTTGATAGCCAGGCATCATCAGCTTTCTTCACCACATTCGCTTATGCTCCCGCTTTGTCTTCAAAGATCGAGTCGGGACAGGCTGGTGTGCATCTTCCATGTGGGGTTTGTTGTTTCTCAGCTCGGTGGTCACTTGTTTCTCTTCAGGCCTTTTAGACCTCAGATGCTATATCTTTTGATAGCTGGGCACCATCAGTTTTCTTCACCAAGTCTTTTTCGTTATTAAGCCAGGTACATTTAAAAATTTTTCTGCTGCATATAAAATGGCCTGCTTGAAGTTCTTTCTTCCCATAGTGCTTCAATGCTCAAAACTCTAGATCTTTTGTGGTTTATCACATTTCAAGGCTGTTTTACTAGCCACAGATCTACTTTTAAAAAGTACAGCGACATTTTCAAATTTCTTTAGCAGCCAGGAAAAGCAAGGACATCCAGGTCCCAGGGCACATGGCTCTGCTTTCTGTCACAATTTTCCTCCACTGGAGATCACCAATCTCAGTTATCCTGGGATCTTCAGCACAGCTGTGATGAGAACAGAACACAATAGTCCAGGATGACCTGACCTGACTGCTCCTCAGTAACTAAGGTTGGAGCCCAGGCACACTATTTTTAAGGACACCTAGATCAAACATTTCAGCTTTCAACACAAGGTGGCCCTTACTGTGTGCTTTATCTTCAGTCCTGATTAAGCTTCAGGCCAGTGGCGCAGAGCACAGCCAAAGGCTTCATGAAGGTACCGCTGGCCTGGTCTTGGCAAGGAACTTTCCCCAGCCGTCATTGGGCTTAGTGTACATGCAAGCCATCGCCAGCATTGTTGCTGGCTTTGGAGAGCATGCCAATGAAGGACTCACTCCAACTATACAATGGCTGACACGATATGGAAATGTCTTTTCCTGAAATGTTGCAGCTCGGTTACAGCAAACCGAACGGCAACCGTCAAGGAGAAATTCACTCTGGGTTCCTTTTTGACTACAGCAGCTATGTGGAAGCAACTGCAGCTTTGATAAGGGCCATGCAAATGTCTTGTATTAGTGATGAAAAGGGTGAGATCACAACAGAAGGGTCGCAGGGAGGAGACGAGTCAGTCAGGGTGCAGGGTAGCAATTATGAAACATACAACGTTCCTCTAGTTCCTAAATGCTTCCTCTGAACCCACTATCATGATCCCAATTCTACTTTACAAATCTGGCTAGACCAGAGAATGTACACTGGTACAGATAGGAACTGGAAACACAGGGAATCCAGGACAGATGACCCCTTCAGGACCAGTGCTGAGAGTGGTGATACCGGGAGGGTAGAAAGAGGGTGGGGTAGAAAGGGGGAACCAATTACAAGGATCTACATATAACCTCCTCCTTGGGGATAGACAACAGAAAAGTGGGTGAAGGGATATGTTGTACAGTGTAAGATATGGCAAAATAATAATTTATAAATTATTAAGGGTTCATGAGGGAGGGGCGAGCAGGGAAGGAGGGGGGAAAATGAAGAGCTGATGCCAAGGGCTTAAGTGGAGAGCAAATGTTTTGAGAATGATGAGGGCAACAATTGTAAAAATATGCTTTATACAATTGATGTATGTATGGATTGTGATAAGAATTGTATGAACCCCCAATAAAATGATTAAAAAATGAAAACAATGCCATTTACAATAGCCACACAAAAGATGAATTTCCTAAGAAGAAACCTAATCAAAGAAATGAAAGACAACCACAGAACACTAGTAAAAGAAATTTTTAAATATCTACATAAATGGAAGATGTTCCGTGCTCATGAAAAAGACAAAGCTAATATTGTGAAAATACCAATCCTACCCAAAACAATCGATAGATACAACACAATCCCAATCCAAATCCCAACTTCACGCTTTAAAGAAATGGAAAAAATAATGAACAAATTCATATGAAGAAAGAGACCTAAGTAAACAAAGAACTCCTTAAAAACAGGAACCAGGTAGGAAGCCTCACACTACCTAGCCTCAAAACCTGTGACATCGCCACAGTAGTCAAAACCATCGGGTACTGGTACAATGACAGATACCTAGATCAATGGGAACAGAATAGAAAATCCAGAAGTGAAAGCATTCACCTACAGTCACCTGATCTTCAACAAAGGACCAGAAATGATCAAATGGGATAAAGATAACCTCTTCACTCAATGGTATTGGAAAAACTGGATCTCTGTATGCAGAAGAATGGAAAAGGGCCCATACCTCTCCCCACGCATAAAAACAGAACTCAAGATGGACTGAAGACCTAAATGCAAACCCCAGAGCTCTAAGGAGCATCAGTGAGAGAACTGGACCAGACAAGGCCTTGTTACAAGACACGCACAGACTACTAAGTATAATCAAGGCAGCACACCTAGTGGAAGATAAACTGGGTGACTGCGACCAACCGAACATAAAACATTGATGCTTATTAAGAGACCTCATCCAAACTGAAATGAGACCTCACGGATTGGGAAATTTGTTTTAGCAATGACACAATGAACAAGGGTCTAGTTACCAAAATGTATAGCATTCTACAATCCCTCAATAAGAAAATAACAAACGACTCGATTAAAACGTGTACAAAAGCCACAAACTGAAAGTTCAGCCAAAATGACAATCGAATCGCTACCAAACACGTGAAAAAATGCTCACTATCACTAGTCATCCAGGAGATGCGAATCAAAATTATGAGATACTTCCTTTAACACCCCCAATGAAAGCCCAATTCAAGAAAGCAGAAAACAAAAATTGCTGGAGAGGGTGTGGAGCGATTGGAACTTTTCTGCACTGCTGCTGGGCTTCTAAACGTGTTCAACCACTGGGGAAAGTGATAAGGCATTACCTAAAGCAATTGGGACTAGAAATCTCATATAACCCAGCAATGTCATTACTGGTGTCTATATCCCCAAGAAGTAAGAGAAAGAACGCACAAAAAACCAGGTGCTTCACGTTCATTGCAGCACAATTCACAATAGCAAGAAGGTGGAAACAGCCAAATGCCCATCAGTGGAAGAATGAGTAAATACACTCTGGTACATACACACAATGGAAATCATGCATCCCTCAAACAACAGCAAGGAAACCAGGAAACACCTCTTGGCATGGCTGGGCCTGGAAACCATTATGCTGAGCGCAATTAGTCAACCACGAAAGGACAAATATTGCATGAGACCCCCACTACTATAAAAATAAACACAAGACAAAGGCAGGCTTCTGTTCTCAAGTCCTCTAATCTTTTATTCCAGTTTCCCAGGCAATGAGGTAGTGTGCTTGCCTAGAGCTTACGGACCCTAGACCACACCTTTCTTTGTATATCATAAAAACCCCTTCCACAAGGGAGGTCTCACCTCAACCGGGTCAGTTTCCCATGATTTGGAGAAAGGGAAAAAGACCAATCGGTTCCTGTCACATAACCTTATCCTACTGTTGCCCCAAATTAACGGACACTCCTACAAGAGCGATTAGCAAACTTTACGAGAAACTCAAGTCAAGAGGTGACTGGGTGGGCACATGTCTGTCCTAGAGAAGGTGACTATGATTTAGTCAGTGGGGCAGCTGAATTGTGCAGCATGTCATTGGGAAAAAAAAACGAACATTCAAAATATAAACCCCCAATGGGAGAATAAGCTCGGTATCATGTCTCTAATCCGTCCTTTCCAGGTGCACAACACACTTTATGGATCACACTCGCAGAATCCGATTTGGAATTCTGCTAAGTGAATGGGACGCTGCCTTACACACATTGGTGAAGGCACAGTACTCCCTTGGGATCCAGGCTGGAAAGCCCCAGTGTGAGAGGCAGGAGATAACTCTTATCCCAAGGATATGGACGTGAAAGTGACTGACTGGACCTTCATCCAGGTAGTGGCAACTGAAGACGACCAGGTGTGTGCTAGTCTCATACTCCACTTGTCTTTATGGCAGGGATAGCCCAGTTCTGCCTTGTGAATGTTGCTCTATCTTCAATACATAGTGTCCAGTCACTTAAATTGTTGATCTGTACAAATCAACAATCCATGTGTTTTGGTCTTAAAAACTCTCCTATATATGTATATTTCCTTTTTCTCAGTAGTGTTTTACATTCTATATCATAGTCCAAATTAATGGTAATGAAAATAGAGCTTCTTCTTGCTCAACGGAGAACATTTACAGTATCCTGCAAGAAAATAATATCTCTGTGTTCTCAGTTGTAGTCCTAATCTAAGAAGAATTAGTTCTTATGACATGGTCGTGGCTCAGTACCTACCCCATGAAATGACCACTGAAGAGGTGGGGCTGGAGTAAATATGGTGAAGAAACCAAACAGTGCCCAACTCTAAGAAAAAATAGTCTCGGAGGGATTAAAGGCTTGTCTTCAGACAAGCAGCCATCTATGTGAGGTTTTGGCTCAGTCCACAGGGAAGAAGCACGCCAGTCAGCGGGTCCACGAATTGTAAATAACAAAATCCAAACCCAGAGGCAATGGTATGAGCCCTTAAATTCAGAACACTCGATGATTTGCAGAAGGCTGTAAATGACCGTGAAAGACCAAAACCAGGGTTGCCCATGTGAATAAAGCTTCCAGTGAATCTCCTCTGACTATGAACCAGATATGCAAAAGGCCCTGTTATCAGACACAGTATATTTATTGGAGGATGTATGACTGCAGTTGTAGTTAAGTGAAAATGTGACACCTAGTCCCTGATCTCCCTCTTGCCCTAATGCATAATCACTGCAGTTTTTATATTTTCTCCTTTGTTTTCGATTGAGTTTTTAGTAGTTTCTCCTTTGTTTTCTCTATCGTTTTGCCATTGTTGTGGGCCATTTGTTTGGATTTTGTCTTGATTGTGTTTTTCTGTATGTGAAACCCAGATTAGGTAGACCTACAGAGACAACAACTGGATCAAGAGATTCAAAAGCACACGGCAGGGGAGGTTGGCTGGACTTGGGGAGCTGACAGCCAGGAGCACAGGGAGGAAGGCCTGTCCTGGAGTTCAGTGTGGCGATGGCTGCATCGCCCTCATGAATGTGATTGAAATGTGGGATTGGTGAACTGTAGCCGGTGTAACAGTTAAAAATAGACTATTAAAAAGCCATTGTCTTATTAAACAACTCTGTTTAAAGGCAGTGAGTTAGTTATCTATTGCTATATAACAAAGGTTGGAATGAAGAACAGTTATTCTCTCTCATAGCTTTTGTGAGTCAGGGCTCCGGAAGCAGATTCGTCGGGCAGTTCTGGCTTCCATTCTTCCATAAGGGTGCAATCAGACTCAGCATGGACTGGACTCACCTGAAGGCCTGACCGGGGCTGGAGAATCCACTGCATGCACTCACATGGCCGGCAAGTACTTCCCTGAGAGCAGAAATTTAGCTTTAGAGCACGTGATTGGAGAGGAAAATAAAAGTTGAAATGCCTTCTCTGACCCAGCTTTGGCAGTCAGGTACCATCATGTTTTGGTATCTTGGGTGGAAAGTAGCTCAACAAGAATGTGAGTACAGGAAGCAAAGCTCATTAGGAGCCCCCTGGGAAGATGGATGGCTATCATAGGCAGGGAGTTTCTCCTTCAGGCTCATTGCTTCTATCTCCTTTCTTGCTTCCTGCTTTTGATTTTCAAAGAGGAAACCACATTACTCCTCCCAGAACTCACTTCTCATTGCTCACTGGGCCCATTCCTAAAGCAACCTTTGGGAGAAAGAAGAATGAGCTTAGGCCAGTTAGCACTCACCTTGCTGCTGGTGTTAGAGAGATTCCAGTGTTTAAACACAGGATAAGTTCTCAACAACAACAACAACACGTGTTTTATTAGTAAAGAAGAAAGAGAATGGACTTTGAGGTAACAAACACTGATAATTTGCTACTTTTGCTTACTATTGTCTTTGTTTACATATATATATATATATATATATATATCAGTTTTCCATTCAACCACTCATATAAATTTTGTTTCATATCATTGATTGTAGTGTTTGCTATTATTTTAGTATTTCACATCTTCATTGTTGAACGTTTTTCACGGAAATATATTTCCTAGTAATTCTGGAAGAGGTTTGTAGACCAGTTTTCCCGATATATTGGAAAATGTGTCATTATTCCGAACTTGCTCATAAATGAGAATGCTGGGTTAAAGACAATGATCTTACAATACATTGATCCATTGTCCACTAGCATCCATTGCTGCTAATGTCTTGCAGTAGGTGTCTTGGTTAAAATTTTCTTTTTATCCTTGATGCTTTTAAATTACAGCAAGAGGATTATCATATTAAATATACACTTTTAATCTGATGATATATAATATCTTGCATAATTTGTTTACCCCCCATCCTCTTTCTGGATTTATGAATGTTAGAACTTCATTTTCCATTTTGTTTTTCTCTCATTGCTCTACCTTTCACCTGTTACCCAGGAGAACACCGCATCCAATCTTCTGAGTTACAACTTCGCTCTTAGTTTGAAGTGTTCTGCTTCATTCAGAATAATATGGTGATTAAGAGGTGGAGTTCAGAACCTAGTTCTGCCATGTATTGCTACGCTATCCTAACTAAGACAATTGGTGGTGCAGTGGTGGGCTGCTAGTTGCAAGGTCAGCAATTCAAAACCACTCACCACTCTAGACAGACAGGTCTCTACTTGCATAAAGAGGCCCAGTCTTGGAAACTCACAGCAGCAATTTTACCCTGTCCTTTCAGGTAGCCATGAGTCAGAATCAACTCTTTGACAGTGAGTTTGGTTCCTTGGCCTATCTTTTTGTGTGGAGACCTCATGTGCCTACGTACAATGCCAGTTCTGAGTGCTGCTTTGCTGATCGTGTTAGGAAGGAGGAGGATAGGACAGGAAATGATGCAGGGCAGGGCAAGCAAATCGTTGACCTCTGTGTGGAAGTGATCCACTTTCTCCCGGAAACTCGTAAACAATTCCTTGGCGTATTACTCGGTCTCTTTGGGCCAAGCACCCATGGTCACAGAGTGCGTGGCCAGCCTCGGGACAGACATGTCCACCTGGGGAACATCAATAGCCTCCTTAATTTTCTATATAGTAGTTGTGACTGTTGTTAGTTGCCACGAAGTCAGCTCTAGCTTACAGGGAACCTGTGCACAAAAATATGAACTGTTACCTGGTCCAGCAGTTGTCATGATGGTTGGTATGCTCAAGTTCATTGCTGCAACGCCAATATTTTGAGTGTCTTCCAACTGAGGGGTTTTATCTTCCAGCATTATGTTGGACAATACATTTTTATGATCTGCAGGGTATTCATTGGCTAATTTTTGGAAGTGGATCCAGTCTAGGCCTTTATTCCTAGACTGGCTTAGATTGAAGCCCCACTGAAGCCTGCCCACTAGGGATGATTTTTCCTGTCCTTAAAATATCAGTGGCATAGTTTCCGGCATCAGAGTAACACATAAGCCACTACCAACTGACACATCACTTATCACTATCTAAAATAATCTTAGTTATCAATTTTTTATTTGCAAGTTTATTGTTTGCTTCTATGAAGGCAAGGATTTTACATTATCCAAAGCTTTATGTTTGCGACTTAAGGATTCTGTCTTGCACAGAGTAAGGAATCCATAGTTATTTGACAGAAAAAGATAATGTATTAATGCAGCTCCTTAGCAGTTTACCATCATGAATATGCATTTCCCCCCTGTATCCATTGCCTCTCAGCTTGAATCTGCTCCATCTGTCATTCAAGTCCAACCCCATACTCCTTAGGTTTGTATTTCCACAGACAATCCAATTCTGTCTGCTTTATATAATCTAAGAAGTCCACTTAAACATAAGAGCACTGCTGCTGCTCTTTTGTCTTCTGGAACTTGTGGTTACGCAATGGGTTGTGCTCTATAAGTTTGAAACCACCAGCTGCTCTGAGAAAGAAAGAGGAGGCAATCTATTGAGATAGATTTATTTATCTAAATTTTAAAAATATTCTTGTTAAAACCTTCTTTCCTGTTTATTCCATTCCTTTTTCCTTCTCACTGTCCTTTAGTCTATATCCTTTCTGTCTGAGTCTATGCTTTTTATAATTTACTACATACTTATATAGACAGAAATAGCATGTAATATTGTTCTTTAGGCTTTAAAGCCATACATAAGCAATAGCAATGATCTCAACCCTTCAGATTAAATAAAATGAATCTCAATTTAATTTAGGTATTGACTGCTTTTTCCAGCATTTGCTGGTTTCTCTTTGAATAAAGTAAAAGCAGGTCCTTGGGTTAAAAGCCTGGAGCTGACAAAGATAGCTTTCTGTAAAGTTTTATAACACTGATTTATTTTCAATTTTACTATGTAATTATTTTAATTTTCTACCTTTTTGCAAGGTTTTCATTGATAGTCGCAATTTGTTCTTCTTTTTGAAATTAAATGGGAAAACATGTCAATTTAAAGCAAAATGTTAATAGTAACAGTACAGGGGACTCAAAGACCCGCCCTCCAACCCCTCATCCCCCCCGCCCCCCCCAAAAAAAAACAAAGAAAGAAAAACTATGAAACTTGTATCGGAATGGCTGAAATTTGATAGACACTTGACCTAGATGGTAAACACCGTGAAGTACTTCAGTGGGGGCTATAAGTACTTCAGCGAGGCCCTCTATTGTCCTCACCAGTCTTACATCACCTCCAGTAACACAGTTAGCAATTTCACCCTCCTCATTGCCCTGGAGGCATAGTGGGTACATATCGAGGGGCTTGACCACAAGGTCAATAGTTCAAATCCACCAGCTGCTCTCCAGGACAGACAGGTTTTCTACTCCCCTAAAGGGTTACAGTCTGGGAACCCTTGGGCTGTTCTGCCCTGTCCTAGAGGGTCACCTGAGTTGGAACCAACTTGATGACAGTGAGCTTGTTTTTTGTGTGTGGTTATTTTCCCTTACCAACTGCAGGTGCCTTTGCTGTTGTAAGGTCTCCTTGTAGAGGACTTCCTGTAACTGGCACCCCATCTTCCCACTACTTCGTAAACCCCCTCTCAGGTAAGCCATCTGCCTGTCTTTAAGGACTCATCGATAAAGGTCCTCATCTAAACCTAAATCCAAGGGCAGAATTTAGTGGAGATATCATGATACCTTTGTGGTCTGACAGCTTTACTAAGGCCAGAAGGCGAGATCTGTTCCTGATATTTCAGATAAAGCCTCAAGTACAAAACCAAGACCCTCCATGACAGCGTTATTTTAATCTTAATGTTTGGAGTAAAAAATAATAGATGGCCATAGACCTGATCTCGAATTTATTATTATCTGTCAATGCCAGAGGCTACATTAGCCTATCATCCCAATGAAGGGTTTAGTTGGGGGTGGGGTGATGTTGGGGGTGGGGGCGGTGTTGAGGAAATGTAGAAGGGAGACATAAGGAAAATGATAGGAAATGATCATTCTTTGCCTCATTTTGACCTTATGTGGTGGTTTACTGCCAGTTCCTACGCTGGGCTGGGCAGTTTGATTGGAAAAGAGAGACATGCCTGACACGGGTAGAATGTCTACAGGCAAACACGTTCAAACAGTTGTGGTATTGAGATGTTGGAGCCATTTTCAGGTTTCACGGTGCATTCTTTACAACGCATAGGAATACAGTAATGCACAAACTGTACCGCGCACAGCAAATGCGATTTAAAAGCTCTCTACTCTCATGTCTGCAGTCCCGATGCACTGCGTTTTCACCTATCCACTCAAAAGATTGTTTGTTTTCCTAAAGCCGATATTCACACTACATAAAATGAGGAAGCAAACCCTCCCGTGGACTTGGCCAGTCACCTGTCTGCTGATAGCAGAGGTCCTGCGAATGCTTGCAAAGCTAATGCTCTCTGGGAAGAACAATTTCAGGGTTTTCTCCCGAGCTATCTAGTTGAATGTGGCCAAGGCCGGAGAGGAGGGACTGCGTGGGGACGCAGGGGAAGTGACTTCACACTCAGGATCATTGAATGTCATGTTTACTACTGTAAACAATCCGCTTCTCACGGCGGAGAAAGGGGGTGACGTGAAATCACTCTCCCGTTTCCTTCTTGCACGGTACATTCTATCCGCTAGCCATCCAACTTCTTCCATCCGTCCCGGTAGGCCAGCCAAGGGAATGCTGCTAGAAAGGAAAATAGGGTGTGCTGCTTAAATCAGAGTTGGCTTCAGACGGTTGCCTGGGGCATTCACGATCCTGCACCCAAGGGACAAACTTCTCCTTTCAATTCGGTCCTTTCCGTGGGGAATTGCGGCAGGGGCAGGTCCTGGGTGTGGTGATGCCCAAAGGGAGCCCCCCTTTCCTGCTTTGGGCAAACCTTTCCGACCTGGAAGCCGCGAGTGACCCGCAGGAGGGAATGGCCATCTGGGTTGGTGGAGACCGCGGGTGGCCCCGACCCCGAGGCCTGCGCAGACCGCCGCGAGGGGGACTGGGCACACCGTGCGTGCGCTCCTCTCCCCCACTCGCTGGGCGGCAGGAGGCGGGTCCCCTTCTCGGCACACAAGTCCTTATATGCACCGGTTCCACCAGTCCGAGTTTCTTCAGCCCCAGAAATAATTAATGGGGGAGGGAGAGCGTCCCTCTTCACCACCCCACCCCCCTCCACCCTCCTTTTGGCATTTTCAACCAGACCAGTTTGAATCCCTCCAAGAAAGCCCAAGATGCCACCGAACCCCCATGTTGCTGCAGCGTCTGAATTGGACTCGGATACAGAAAAGCCTCCTTGTTCCTACGACAGGCACTCAGGGCTCAGCACCAGCTCTCGGGTCCAACCCGCTCAGCGGGCAAAGCCGGGGCCGAAAGGGTGCCCGCCCCTCCCCCACCCCACTGGTGCAGAGGGACCCGGTCAGGAAGCGCGGCCTCCCTCCCGCCGGAGACCACGCCCCCTCCGCCTCTTTTCGCCCCCTCCCCCCTTTGCTCCTCCCAGGAAGCGGTGATCGACAGTTCTGTGTGGTTCTCCACCCCCACTCCCCCAGCTGAGTGGAGGAGTTGATGTGTCTCATTAGAACAGCCAATGCAGCCGCCATCCACGCACCAGCAAAGCAGCATGTCCCATTTAAATCCACCCACGCAGCCCCAGCGCCCTTAGCCGCTCCGGGCGCGCAGCCCACACGCACCGCGGCTCCGGCCTGGAAGGTCCGCGCAGGTGGAGCTCGCAGACCCGGCGGATCGGAGCCGGCGCGCGGGCACCGACCGGGGTGGGCGGGGGAGGCTGGGCCCCGGGCCTCGCGAGCGACACCCGCATGAGGACGCGAGCGCGATAGACCAGGGTGGGATTTCCTAGGGCGACGCTGCGGGGTGGCTCTGACCCATCTCTCCGGTGACGAGGTCGACATGGCGAGCGACTCTCCGGCTCGCAGCCTGGATGAAATCGATCTCTCGGCTCTGAGGGTGAGCAGCGCATGTTTTCGGATTTCTTCCCCGCGGGGGAGGTGAGGGTGGAGGAGCTCGGCGCGTGGACCGAGGCGGGAGATTGCGACCGGAGGGAACCTGCATTCCTGTTTACACTCGGGGCTGGCGGGGGTGCTCTTACTTGAGCCCCGGTGTGGGGGGCACGTTGTCCCCCCTTGCCTGTGTCCGATGCGCTCCAGACAGCGCGTGGAGCTTAAGCCACTTTGTCGTAGACGAGTGTAAGAGCGTTAACATGAGAGACTTCTCAGCGTGTGTGTGTGTGTGTGTGTGTGTGTGTGTGTGTGTATGTGTGTGTGTACTACCTCGGGCATTCGTTTTATGCCCAGGCGCGAGGGCAGGATGCTGCCCCTTTCTGCAAAAAGAATCACAGTGCGATAAAGACGCTAGCTCCCTATGTTGTCCAGCTACCTACGAGCTGACAGTGTGAGCCTGCCGGTACCGAACCGCCGCTCCAAGGAGCGGAGAGTGCTCAGCTTGTCTGGTAGATGGCAACTGCCTCCCCCTCCCCCCTTCCTACTTCTAGCGCCCAGGTGCCTCTCGGCGTCCCCTTAAATGCCAGCCTGCACTCACCTTTACTTGGGGGCTTCACTCAGCCCTCCCTTTGCTTTCTGACTCTAGCTGTGACATTTCAGTTTTATGGATGAACTTCAGCAGGTGAAAGGGATGAGTTTTCTGCCCCTCCCCCGCCAATACACCGGAACTCGTGTGTGTGTGTGTGTGTGTGTGTGTGTGTGAGTGTGTGTATATGTGTTTTCCTTGTGTCTGTGGCCAGTTCTTTGTAGAGCACCTCCCTTCCCGCAGCCCCTCCGGTTTGCACTTACCTTCCCGGGAATTGCCTTAGAAGCCTTGCCTTTTCATTGTATTGACTGAGACATCACTGATACAGAATCCATTTTGCTGTTGTTTTGTGATCCGAATCCCAGGGTAGCCTCGACGCCTGTCTACCCCAACCCCCAACCCCTACACACTCCTTCAGGGAAGGGGGCCGAGCTTTTCTTGCCATTTTAATTAGAGGCTGCCTGCCGGAGGGAGGAAAGGGGGTGAGGGGCGGGGTGGGGAGTGGGGGCAGCAGTGAGGATGCCTTGGGCACCAATGTAAAGGCTTCTCCTGCACCCTCCCCTGGAAAAGAATAGCAACCACATCTATTTGCTGCATGGCGGGCTGGCGAGGCTGAATTGATGGTGGCTCTCAACGCGGAGACAAGCAGGACTGAAGTTCACACGCCCTCCCGAGGAATACATTGGTAGATTGAAGCGAAATCTGGAGGGCCATTTACCTGGATCCTCTTAGTCCTGCTGACATCGCCTCTTTCCTCCACGGGTATTTTAAAGAGGGACTATTATGATCAAAGCGGTACTTTTTCTTTGGCTTCCTATCATCCTCTATCTTTTTCCGCCGCCGTTCCTTGCCGCCCCCGCCCCCCGCCCCAACACACTGGTTCCAGAGAGGAGGTTTCAACCAGGCAGTCCCGGGAAGAAACAGATGCCATTTGAAACAGCCTTGTTCTGATAGTTGGGCAGCAAAGGCTCATTCATGCACTGTTTACAGTAAGCTGCTTATTTCCCTGGCGCCGAAATGCCACATTCAGAACCCGCTGCGCCCTGGGCAACTGAGGGTGGGGGTGGTTGGTAATTGGGTGGGGGCTTTGCCCAAGCCTTTGGCTTCCTGCTTGACCGACTGAGTATTCATTTGTCCCGATTTCTGCCGGGGAATTGCTCCTGGTAGGCTAATCAGGTGGATGGACAGCCAGGCTTGCAGGTGGAGGAAATGTACAGGAAGGAGGCGGTCCGGACAATAGGCAGTGCTTGTGATTGCTCTAAGGCAGAATCACCACCTCTCCATCACTCCTCTACTGAGGGTGCTGTGTGGTGATTTTTAAGTTGGGTTCCAGTGTCCCCCTCAGGAAGGGTTTCTGGGAGCTAGAGCACACGGCCAGGAGGGTGAGCAACCCTTGGGACTCCCAGGGATGGCCGGTGAACGCTCCGCATTCAGATACCCGCGCTTGTGGAATCTGTTTTGAAGAAATCCCGTTCTACTGTTCAAGCAATGGCTCTTTGTGGCTTGTGTTCTGCCTGTGTCTTTCTGCCTGCCCCGAGGGCGAGGGAGACATTATCCCCGCTGACTGGGCGACTTGAATGTAGACTGGAAACAATTTGGTCCTGGAGGGCTGGGGTCAGTCACCGGCTTTGTGGTAGACAGGGTGTGCTAGCCAGAAGAGGGTTCAAAGGGCTCACAGGCACTCAAAAACCCGAAGGGAGAGCATCTCTATCTCCCCACACTGAGACATGGGTGCATCTGGATGAGAAGTCTCATTGGTTCCTAAACCCTCAGAAAAGCCTTGGTACTGAGAACCTCCTAGGGAAAGCCTGACCCCTGAAATGCAGCCAAGGTCAGTGCCTTCTAGGAGCATTGGCTGCAGTCTGGGTCCCTGGTTGCTTCAGTGACTCTTTAATGTACACAATCAATGCTCTTTTTGTCAGCGCTGTGCTCAGTGCTTTAAAACCAGATCCTGTCTGGAGAGGCCTTTATGCCTGCTCCCACTTTGGGCACTAATTGTTCTCAGCCAGTGATCCCAAACTGGACCCCGTCTAAATATTCCCCAAATAGTAACAATGCATAATTTAAACCAGAGCAACTGGTGACAGCGGTGATCCTTTAAATCATGCAAGATTTGCATGGTTGTGGAAAGTGAGATGAAGGCCGGGCATTCTCTGGTTGGGAAACAGATCATTTGAAGCCAGTCTATGTAGCCCTGATTTCTAGCGCTCAGACAGATAAGGCAAGTCTTGGGGCATGCTGGGGTGGAGCTGGTGGTGGTAGTGTGTTTTTAGAGACTTGGAGCTGGAAGGGAATGGCGGAAAACTCATCCACTCTCTTCTTTTAGCATACTGGCACCTGAGCCCAGAGAGGTGAGCCCCTCACCCAAGGTCACACAGTCACTGGGAAGAGGCTTGGGAGGAGAATTTAGCTTTTCTGACTCCTCATTCGGTGCTCTTTTCTTTCTCTAAGTCATGTTGTCTGTGGCTGAATCAGAAATCAATAATGCATTTTCTGCCTGAGCACAGCAAGCGGCAGAGAAGAATAATTTCACCAGGGTTATGGGATTTTATTTATTGAGAAGCAGGAAAATGGCTTCGTGCACGTCAACTTGTAATTCACAGACCCCTGGAGCTTTAGAGGTCCCTCTGGAATTCATCCTGGGAAGCCCCTCGTCCCTTCTGCCTCTGCCCACCCATGTTGTCTGAATCCCTTAGACCAGGGAACCTTTCTGGGTAACCCATCAACGTCGGAATGTCCCACGGGGTCAGTCTGGACATGTACGATGCTTTAGATGCCCCTGCACATGACTATCATGAATATAAAATAAACCCATTCCCTATGGGTGTGTGAAAATGTGTGTGCACAGAAAACAGTTGACTCATTCAAACCCTGGTTGGAGTCCTTCTTGCTTCAAGACATCAGGAATGAAATTTGCTACCAGTATGAGGTGAGCACAGCCCAGGGTGTTTGAGAGGTTAGTGTATTTCTGAACCTGAGCACCTTGGCTGTCCTTCGCTTGGCTCACAGGGTCTGGCATCTAAGGCCATGGTTTGCCACTGTTGACCTCAGACTCTCAGCATCTGCCAGGCTCACACACAAGCTTCAAATTGAACAGAAAGAGCTGGTTCCTGGTGGCTTTTCACCAAACCCTCGCTCCCTCCTGGGCTCAGCCAATTCTTTCCTCGTTGAAACCCATACAAAGGGGCCTCATCTTTGAAGCCTTGTGTACATTCCTGCCGCTACACTTTTGATGTCTGTGTTATAATTGGTGTGGGCTTTTCTTTCTATTTCCCCAATAGACTGTGAGCTCCTGGGGGGTGGGGTGGGGGAAGGGCTAGAGCTTATTCATCATTGAGTTTCTAGTCCTTGTCATTTGAATGAATAAATGCATGAGTGAATAAGTGAATGGATGAATGCAGTGTCCATATCTTACTAGTCTGTGACTTTGGGTAAGTCCCTTAGCCTTAATTCCCTTAAAAATGGAAACTTGCCATCTAGACTGGTTCAAAAAACAAATACAGCATTATGGCAATGCGCTGCCAACTGTCAATCATTATAATGAATATGGTATACAGGACGGCATAGAATTTTACAGGAAGCTTGAGTCCACAAACATTTGATTCTAGTGACAGGGCCTAGAATCTGAAATGATCCTGTCAAAAAGATAGCGGATGGTTCTGGCTTTCTTTTTAATGAGCAGGGCGTGGAGCCGTGGTGGTGAGCGGGTTCCATGGTGGACGGCTAACCCGGAGGTCAGCAGGTGGAAACCACCAGCCACTTGTGGGAGAAAGAGGAGGCTTTTCTATTCCTGTACAGACTGAAACCGTCTAGGAGAGCCCCAGGCGTCGTTCCACGCTGGCCTAGAGGGACCCTGTGCATCAGAATCAGCTTGATGGTTGTGGGGCTTGCTTGTTTGTTTAATCAGGACATTGGTGTCCCTAGGTGGCATGTAAGGTGAAGTACCTCACCACTATCTGAAAGGTTGTGGGTCAAACCAGGGCTTCCAATGGTTCTTTCTGGCTTGAGCCCGTCCTGAGATTTTGTATTTCTATTTCAGATAAACTGAACCAGAATCTAATCTACACAGTAAGACGATTGTCATGTGATTCTTATGTATATGTAAGAATCATAAGAGAATCACCGGTAGAGTCTGATGCATGCATTTATTTTAGAGAGGAAAGGCAACCTCAGCAAGGTGTTGAAGTGGAGTGAGCTGGTTGGCAGGCCTGATTCAGACCCACCCGGAGGTGCCTTGGGAAAGAGGTGTCTTTTGAGAGGTCACACCCTTGAAAACTCTGTAGTAGTTCTACCCTGTACACATGGGGCTGACATGACTAGACTCGACGACAGCGAACAGCAAGATCAATGTCTATGTTCTTCTGAGGGCCTGATTGGATTTTCCCTGTGGTGACATCTGCCCAAAGCTTTTAGGAGATGAG